CCATCTCTCAACGGAGGACACACTCCAGTTACACCCAACATCCCAGGCGCCAATGGAGCTCTGGAAAGATCAGGGACGAAGACTCGACGACTGTACGAGACGGGACTTGACAATCATCTCCACGAGCAGCAATTCTCGGCCATGAGCAGAATTGATACTTTAACTAGGCAGCGGACTCTTGGAACAAATACGCCTCCACCCGGGGGACTATCTCCTACATATGGCCCAACACCTGGTGATAGATGGGATCGCCAAATCGCCGGAAAACAAAGCATGCCAAATTTGCGAGCAGCAAGCCCGCCACCTACTGGTACCGGAATGGGCACGTTTGACTTTGGTGTTCGGAAGAACAGCAATGCAGCCTCGAAACCGTTCGGCATGGCCTCTCCTCCTCTCAGCCCTCCAATGAGCGAGTACGACGAGCATGGAATCTTACCCGTGCAACCAAACGACAGAGGAAAGGCTACAGCTTTGGGTGCTTTCGCGAAGCCAGCTCCATATGATGAGAACAAGTACTCCCAGAGACAACTTCAGATGCAGCAGGATCGAGAGACACCACCTGCAAGGAGAAATTCACCGCCACGGGCATTCGTCCCTCGAAACCCGCAACAGCAACCAGTGTTAAACCGCAATCGTGCTGAATCCAATTCTACCTATGGTTCAAATAGGTCAAGATCAAACTCCTCGGCACAGAGAACATTCTTACCCCATGATCGTATGCCAGAAGCACCAATGAGCAACATCACCGTCCCAGAATCCCAGGCAATGTCTTCTGGTACTTTCCTCGCTTCTCCTGATAGTGCATCCTCCGCTTCACCTAACGACCCTGGTCCGGAACAGAACAGATTCAGGAATCACCCAAAGCCCCTCGATCTATCCCACCTTTACCGCCCGGACCAACGAATTCAGGTTGACCGACCAGACGAGTCACAACATCCAGCACATCGCTTACAGCCAGATATAAGTCCAGCAGTTGCCAGTCCTGATATTTCCAACATGAGCTTACAGCCGACTTCTGCGAAGTCTGCACAGCCACCTGCCGATTCACCTACACTAGGCCCTGGGCTGGGTAGTATTCGCCAACATTTGAGGTCTGACAGCAACACCTCATCGGTTTACGGAGGGGTTCCATCTGCTCACTTCGCTTCTCGCTTCCCGACTGACGCTCACGAATCGATGCCGCAAAATGAATACAGCACCAAGAGCACTCCTTGGGATAATGACTGGGATCAGGAGAGCAACTATGGAGAGGACAGTTCTGCAAATTTAATGAATGGAGGTACATCTCAACCACCGCCTCTATCGGTTCGTTCACCAAATATTGATACTTCGGTAAATGAGCCTCGAAATGCATCTTGGGAGAGAGAAATTGAGAGCAGGCATATTCGAGAGGGCAGTACCGAAACCCAGAAAGAGCACCAAGCCTTCCAGGAGGAGCTTGCTTCTCGAAGACGTAAGGTTCAAGAGAAAATGAAGAGCATGGTTGAGAGTGACAGCAGGGCTACGAGCCCACTTCCACCCCACCCAGCCGACTGGCCAAAAGATGCTCATCAGGTCAAGAATAATGCACTAGGGCTTCTGAAGACTAAGACCAGCAGAGGATCTTTGGTAGGGAGGCCAAAGGAAGCTCCACCATCGAAGGCCATGAAGATGTTGGGTATTGGGAATGCAACCATCACGAGTGGATCTCCATCGCCCGGAAAGTCAAGGTTTGAGGACAGTCCCTGGAATCAGGAGGAAGAGGAGAGGGAGCCGGTTCGTGCACCAGAGGCGACACCTCCCCAGACCAGAAATTTCCGAGAGGCACGTAGAGCAGCTCAACGGGACCGAGAACGCGATGTTGCGAATAGGCACCAGCAAAGATTCGGTTCTGAGAGCGAGCAGGAGTGGCCCGTTCAACGAAAAGAGAGGGAGAGACCGAGAATGACCAATCAGCGTATGGATAACTCCTGGGTTGACAATTCTCGTGATCACTCTCGGATGGACAACTACCGGATGGACCAACGAATGGATCACCGGGTGGACAATCGGATGGACAACCGAATGAACAACAGAATGGACAACAGAATTGACAACCGTATGGACAACCGCATGGAAAGCCCACGAAGGGAGAACTTCTACCGCAATCAGGACCAGAGCGAGAGGGCCCCTCCCAATATGCGACCTCGTCATCGGACCCCAAGCCGAGAAAGGAAGCCGCCCCCAGTGACATATACTCATCGAAATGGCAGTAGTAGTCAGGAGAGCAAAGACAGCAATGGGACGAACCGTTCTGGGTCACGACCTCCTTCGAATGCCTCTCGAGATCGATCGGGATCTGACACGTCCGGTGGTCGTTCGAAGAGTCGTACTGGTGCGTACAGAGACGACCTAGCCAAGGCCATGGCTGAGGGAACCTCAAGTACAAGTCTAGGATATGAGGAGCGCCCAACACGTCTCATGCCAAGATCCCCTGGTCCTCCTGGAATGGGTCTGCCAGCATCACCATCTCCAATTCCCTCACCAATGATGGGTTCCAACCGGTCTCGAAGCAACAGCAAATCGACACCTGCAGGATACTTCGAGAAATTGCCAAATCTCCAGACTGGTAATGAGGGTATCGAAATTGGTTCAGCACCAAGACCTTCTCCTACTGCTCCATTCGTGGTCAACCCAACTCCGGCATTGGTACAGCCATCGCCAGCTGGCTCTGGAACTAACACACCTACCGGGCAAGGAGGTTCGCTACCTGGAGCTCCCTCGATGCGCAAGAAGTCCATCAACAAGTCCGATATTTCGGAACCCAAGTTCATCTCATCCACCTCGAGAATTACCACAGTCAATCTTCCCCCAGGATCTTCCCTTGCCAACGGCACTGAGATCAACGCCCCACCGATTCCTCCTGTGAACCCCAAGCGTCGCCAAACACGGACAATGTTCGGCGGCTTCATGGGCCGAAGAGACGACGATGAGATCCACTCGATGCCGGCCGCCACGCAATCCACAGAAGAAATGTCCACTTTCTCGGCAGATGAAGGCGATTCCAAGCCAAAGGTCCGAGGAAAGCTTCGCAAGAGCTCCAGCGAAGGTGGAAACCTTAACGCTCGAGCCCGACAAGCTGCAAATGCAGCACCTAGCCCAGCCATGCCAGGCACATTCCCAGCAGGCTCAGGTAGTCCTCCCCGCCCTATCGAGGGTGGCATGTTCTAAGCATACTTACTCTTCACTGTTTCTGCCTTGTCTTGAGAGGCAAATTTCTTTACATGACGCATATACCCTTGTCATTTATTTTCTCTTTTATGCTTGCATGCGTGCACTGCATGGATTGTATTGTATTGTACTGCTCTCCTTTGCTTGTCAAAAGCAACCGGGCCAAGAAGATAATGTTTACATGATGTCCTGCTTGTTTTGTTCGCTTTTACTTTTTTCGAAATGTTGTGTTCGGTATGGAGATGTACACATTTTGCCTCGTGGCGGCTTTACAAAAAAGAATGGAAAGGGTATTCTTGGCGTTCTCTGTTCGTGTGAGACTACTTATCTGTGTGTGTTCTTTCTTTTCGTTGTTTGTGGGATGGATGTTTTGTGCGTTCTTGCTCATGGGGTTAATTCAAAGTAGATACGGACTGATGGATGTGTTTATGTCTCTCCTCTTTCTCTGTCGGTATGGGAACGGTTCTTTTCTCTTCTTTCTAAGTGGGGATGTTCATTTGAGGAATGGGGTTTTTTTTCCATTTGGGGGTAGAGCAGGAATGTGTATCATACATGCAGCATGTACTGTTGGATGGGATAAAGGAGATGTGCTGGGTTCAGCTGGCCTGTGCTTGTGGCACCGGATGTTGTGAGCGGGTGGCTCTCTGGTTTTGAATGAATAGCTATGGGACAGGGCAGGAGGAGTGGAAGTATATATTAGGACAGATAGGGGCAGACAGGGGAAGAAAGAGCTCGTGATGGGAATCATTTGAGCCTAGTGTAAAGAAGTTGAAAAAAGAAATGAAAAATAATACAAATGAATTGAAACCACTCACTCCATCATCTATCAGTTATCAGGGATCTATTTCAAAATGGTCATGTGAAGCGAAAATCAGACTCACCTTGTCAGGTACGTACCAGCAACTGCAGAGGCCAAGCCAGAAGCAAGCTTCAGGTATCAATTGGTGCCTCCCAGAAGTGCCTAAATACCAGATCTTGGAATCTCGAATTACCCCGGGTCAGTTGAGACTGTTAAAGTGGTTGTCAATGAATGGACGACGAGGATTCGAATCTCAAGAAGCTCAACTACTGTCGTGTTGAAATGGGGTGGGTGTTGCTACCAAACACTCATTGCCCTATCGGCGGAACTTTCAGAACTCGCCCATGGCTACGTGGGCATATATCCGCGACTCTCATTCTTTAGTCCCAGATTCCATAAGGATTAAGGATCCAAGATATTATACACGCAAGGCACGCTTGGCAGGCAGATAGGAGCACTGACACGCTGAGGGTGATGGTGACCTCATAAATCGGACTGACATCACTTAGAAATAAGCAGAACAGATGAAGGAAGGAAGCTGATTTCAATTGGTGTGTTTGTTGTAGCATGGAAGCTGGCGTACTGTACAAGCGGTCCTCGTAAATTCGGAAAAGGAGGATCAGGATTGGGTTTGAGGAGCAAAGCAGATCGATCTTTTGTTCCGGCCAAGGGACGAGGGAGATTTTCTCGGCAATGTAAGGCTTTATTTTCCAAACAATTATTTCATCGTGGGAATTTAAATTAACAATTGCAATTTCTATAGCCTCAGCCAGGTAGGAAAGTCACTGGTAATGAATGATGCGGTTTACTAACCTCTTGGGACTGGGGCTGGTGTTCCGTTGTGGGTTGAGGCGAAATCGGCGATTTAGGTTAGGTTCCACTCGGCAGGCTCAATTTCGGAGCTCATGTCGAATAACTGGCAGACCCAGTTAAAACCGGGTAAATTGTTGGCGGTACCTGAGAATAAATAAGGGAGTCAGATGTCAATCAGTCAGAAAAACACTTCTACTCGTCCGCTATGGTGTAACGGTCAGCATACTGCCTTTTCAGTGACAATTTATATTGTCAGAAGTACGGCGGAGACCGGGGTTCGATTCCCCGTAGCGGAGATTTATTTTCTTTATCTTTTTATTTTTTAATTTTTGGCCCCTATTTTGAGTTTTTCCATCCCGAAGATTCCCTCCCCCAGGGCTTTTTTTTTTAACATCACCACCTTCTGGCCTCAAAACTCTCGTTTAGGTAGATGGCCCGGGCACAGGTAGGATTTGTGTGTGGGTGGGGCTTAGTGGATTACTTTTCCGGTGGAGTGAGGTGGACATTGAAAATTTAAGCGAAGTTTCTGGATGTCATGCTTTTTTCCTTCTTTTTCTTTTCCTCCTAAGTTGGAATTTTTTTAAGGGGAGTGATATGAGGCTGGTACAGTAGGTACCTAGTAGAGATAATCAGGTGGGGATGCGGATATTGATGTGATTAAGTGGGAAATTACTGTTGAAGGAACGAAGATTGGATGCCGACTTTAGGTACCTTGTTGTGAATGTTGACGTTAATTATGTGACTTAAGACTTGATGCACGAGGTAGGTATCAGTAGATAAGTGTCCGAATAAGAAGGTTTTCCATCATGGCTTTGGCACAGATCTTTTGGAACTTTGTATTTGTATTGTATTACATACAGGTTTGCTTAACAGTGGAAAATGTTGTAAGTCGAAGTGTTGTCTGTAAACAGTTTGGAATATTTCCTAAATCGTGACATTCAGGCTACCTGCTCACATGTATAATATACAAGTATAGTCTGCCTAGTCTCTCAGACTATCTCTCCCCTCATGTAGAAGTTACCGACTCCTCGTTCTCTTCCGCTATAATTGGCAGCGTATCGTTTCTTTCAGGGGGTTGTTGCTCTGTTCCAGCCGCCGCGGATGTCGTGAGACTGGATACTAACTGATCTAGAGGAGACTCATTATGCACGTTTATTGTAGCTTCAGGCGCAGCAGCCGGTTGCTGGTATCCTGTGATCTCTGCCGTACTAGTTCCGTCTCCTTCGGCGAGCACACGGCCATTGGAGGAGTCTAGTTCTCGGCCTAGTTGGAGAATACGTTCAGTAAGGCTAATCGCTAGAAGGCGCGAATCCTCGGGTAGTGCTGGTGGCACTGGCGGTTGGTTTCCTGCCTGTCCTGTGCGATATGGCACTGCTACATCTTGTTCTGGGGTTACTGGATATGGCAGTGCTCCAGCCTGGGGCCTGTGAAATTGTGCAGGTGCATCAGGTCGAATCCGAGCGATATTCGAAGAGGGGACTTCCATACGATTTGATACAGGTTCTCCATGGTTCGTGAAAGAGCGTAAGATAAAAGGTGCTGTTGATCTCGGGGGAGCAAAGCCAGCTACTTCAAGTGAGTCCAATGTTGCGCTCCTGACTGGTTTCGAGATGCGCGATGGGTCGTTCAGACTTAAGCTTGGTTGTGCAAGATGGGCAGCAGAGTCGGATGGGGAGAATAGCTGGGTGAAACTTTTCTTCCTTCCTCGCAAACCTCTCCATGTGGTGAGACTCCGTGATGGAGTTTTAGTTGGCAGAGTGGCATCTGTTGTTGATGTCTCGAGGTCCTGGAGTGCGGATTTGTGAGATTTTGGAGATGCTTCTGAGGCGAAGATCTTGTTGGCTATCCAGGCTATGGCTACTGTGGCCATTAATACAGGGGCTGCAGCGACTGGGTACCATCTGGCAGGTGCTGTAAATGTTGTGATTCCGAAGACTGTCTAAAAGCAGTTCAGTGGCATGTAATTGAATATATAGGACACAAAATAACTCACTGCTACGAAGCTCAATGGGAGGAAAACAAATGCTAGTGCATTGAGACGAGCAACTGCTTGCCCTTGGATTGCAGTCTCAAGATTGAATGTCTTTCGATTGTGTCAGTCTGGAAGAAGGCACGCTGTGTCGTATTCGGGATTGGGATACTCACAAGACTGAGCAAATTTCCCTGCTGCTCTAATAGAGTAGAGGCCGTCACATCGTAGTAATTCAACAGCCGAAAGGCATCATCCAATCGAGTGAGCAGACTATGACCAGCTCTTGGACCACTCGGCTCAGGCCAATCCTGAGCCCGCTTCATCACCACATCCAGAGACGCTTGATGGATCCTCAAATGCTCTCTGAGACTAATCATATCATTATTATCCGTGTGCAGCTGTCGGGTATGTTCAATGATCGAGATTGTATTTCTGCGGCTGTGGATCTCCTCGATTCGCGCGTTCAGGTTCTGCTTCATCGCACCCCAGATCCGATCCCACCGCGTGAAGAGGAAGTAGAGATCCAGGTATATCCATATCTGATTGTTGCTCAGGCGATTCCATCGTTCTTGCTGTTGTTGCAAGTAGTGTTTTGATATCTTTGAGCTTATGTTTCCGGTAGATACGCTGATGACGACTGCGAGTGGTCGGTTGTTGGCTGTGCTTAAACCATTCATGGCTGAGGTCCAGACAACTGGAGTAAGTCAGTTACACTCGTTTTTAAAATCTGTCTTCATGTCCTTGTATCGGGGTCTGAGGTATTATACCTAATGGTAAACATTGGGCTTTAGTGGTTCCGACGTTAAAACCTTGACCCTCCGTCCCAACGTCGACATGTTCCATGACACATGATATTTCTTCAAGCAATTAGAAACACTCTAGCTAATCGAGGATATACTCCTGTCTCACCTCCACTCTCGACATCCACCAACGGAAGCATAGTCGTTGCACTGGTTCGGTGCAGATGCAGAACAGTATCGACTGGAAAAGATGGAATGGCCTCAAGCAGATGGGGAAGGAACCAAGCCTGCCAATTGGTAATCACCCTATCTCAAAAGTTATTTCTCTTTTTATAGTAAAGCGAATCAAATGAATATATCATTTTTGAGTCACTCACAGAAACACAAGCCCCGTAGATATCTCCGCCTGCAGCGCCAAGCGTCGAGGGAAATACTCGTCATCAGATTCCTCCATAACTTCAAATTCCTCCGTGACGAAAGACAGAGATGGCTCACTGTGGAAGCCGTCTTTCATCAAACCAAACGTGCACTTAACACTAGGTTGATACGCTACAAAAGCCTCCTCCACGCCTTGATGACCCTGCAGTTGGCCCTGGTTGGGGGCCGGCAGCCAAGTTACCTTGGACGAAGCTCTTACATCTTTTTTGTCTTGGGCCAATGCTTTAGGAATTTTCTGCGCGGCGCTTGGAGTGCTGAACATGGAATGCTTTAGCTCGCTCGCCGCCTGGGTCTTTTCCGCTTCTGTTTCTTCCGTGCTAATAAGCCTCGCCATCCACGGCCGAGCTGCCAACGACTCGGGATCGGGAGGCATGGCGAATTTGTGGAAAGTCGGTGGCTCAAGGAGTCTCCGTAAATTCTTCTCAATTGGGCTTTCCTCGTCATTGAGGTTTGGCTCGAAGTGAACGGTCCGGGGCGCCACTGGAGCGCGACTGTCGCCATCTTCAACAGGTATCAGACCGTCCTCGAAGTTCAAAGCAAAATCCCTTTCTGCAATGCCTGAGGAGTTAGACTCGGTTGGTATATTGTGCACTGCAATCTCTGGCACATCAGACGGGGTGCGTGGGCCTGCTCATGAATTAGAACTTGCTGAACCAATGAACCTGTGATGCAAGCTAGCTTGTTCAATTGACTTACTGTCTTCCACCCCTTCAAACCACTCTGGGCTATCTGCCATATTGAGATTTAGTTTTCTTGGGCATCAAATTGATACATCTGTCGGGGACCAGGCTGCAGTATATTTATCTGCACGGGGGCTCTGTGACATAATTGCACGAAGCTTCTCAGCCTCAGCTGAACAACCATCATGTCTAGTCTAGAAACGCCTTCTTACGCCACACAAAGGCTATTCTCTCAATTGGGAATCATCACGAATCAGCTTAAGCGAGCATGATATACGGTAGTGCACACGTAGTGCACACGAAGGACCATCAAATCGGAACTAAAGTTGTCACAAAAAGTAGCACTACTCGAAAAAGAGGAACACACCATATGAGTAATTTTGATGCAACGCCATTCTTCGTTATTTTCTTCGGACCAACACCTCAAGACCGATCTACATAATCTCACTTTCAACATCCCATTCAGGGCTCAATATATCATCACGATTGTGTAAATTCCATGAACGCCATCACCGGCCTCATCCCTACATATACAAAATTATTACAATAAAAACACCCATGCTCATCCACCCATGCCCATCCAGTCCTCCATCCAGCTGTCGCATATGCATGCAAGGCAGAAGGCTTGCTCAAAAAAAGAATAAGGTCAAGTAAGAGACGCCAACCATATGAACCTTCAAGCAGGCAAGGAGCCTCACTCGCTCGCTCATGAACGCCAACTCCTAGATACCCTCGTGAAAGTCTGACCTATGAAAGGCTCCGCGTACTCTATTCCGCATCCTTCTCTCTCTCTACCAGAAACTGCACCATCCAATATAATGTTGGCAGAGATTCTCCAACTTCGTAGCCTCGATAAGAAGCTTGTCTACTTGTAGGATATATGTTAACTCCTCGTCGGACTTGAAGTCGCGACCGGTGAGCTTCTCCTTGACTCTGTTCAGAACCTGCATGGCGCGCTCGTTCTGCGTCTCCTGGACGTCGACGCCCTCGTTGTTGACAAGGCCTTGAGACGTAGAATTTGTTCTGGCGCGAGGACGAGAGGCTGGAGGGCCGCCTGGAGCTGCTGTTGGATCTTGAGCCATGAGTGCCGAGGGTGGCATGCCGGCTTCCATCATTGAAGGACGACGGTTGTTGGCGGCCATTAGCGAATCTCGGCGCTGAGAGGGGAAGTTCGGTCCTGCTGGGGATGTATCGCCTGTGAGACGCCAGTTCAGAAGCGGGTCGTGGATAAACTATTCCGTTAGTAAATACGATTGAATGGAGTGGGTATACTTACAGCTTCAAGCACAGCCATCAAAGACTCCTTGTTGTCACGCAGAACTCGCATGACGTTCTCACAAGTGATTCTGAAACTACCCTCGATGTTGCTGACTTCCATGGCGTATGTCAACATTCTCGTGAGACGGAAAGGTACACGCTCAGGATACTTCTCACGATGCATGGCAACTTCGAAACAATCGCCGAAA